AACACCTTAGTGGCCACCCTAAAATCCTGAATATAACTGGCGTTTTGTCTCATTCAAGTGGAACTTGAGTTTGCTGTTAAGGCTGTGTTGCAACAGGCTGCTCGTAGCTCACTATGCATTTTAATTGAACATTTTTCTTTTTCAGTTCTTTAAATTGTGATTTTGGACAATCATCTTTGTTTTAGCTCTTAAAGGGTGACATCTGCAGGATTATCTGTCCAACATTCAAATTTAGCCCCTCCTGCTAGCTGGGCCCCACCAGAGGCAAGTGTCCTCTGCCTCTTTACAGTTGTAAGAACACGCCCACCTAGCACCACAACCACCTACAGCATTATGTTTCTATGTGGGAGTGACTCAAAGCTGTGTATCTAACAGTGATGAAGTATGTTGCAAATGCGTTTCTATTCAAATGTCAATGTGTTTTTAGCCACAATTAGCCCTGGCGTTCAGCCCTCTCAATCACTAGCAGACAGAGTAACAACTGCATATTATGATAACCACGTCGCCTATTTGAAATCCCTTGTTATCTTTCCACAAACCAACAGCAACATTTTCTGGATATGTCTGTGTCTGGTCTGGTAGATTGTGTCCTCTCGCCTTCTGACATGGACCTCATGGAGTTTGTGACTCATGGACAAGCAGAGCACCTGGGTAAGGTGAGGGCCAAGTGAGGGCAAACGATTAAGGACAAGCAAGGGAGAGATGAGTGAGGCCACGGAGATAAGCACACAGCTATTTCACAACTATTTATGGTACATTACCTTTTACTTTATTTTTTTCAAATTCTCCACGGTGCTTTCTGTATCACTATTTAGATAGGCCCACTGTGAATTTAATTTTCCTGATAAAATAACTTAGGCAAAGCTACTCAGTCACTTCATTTAAAGTAAATGTGTTGTGTAAACACTAGAAATCAATCAAACAATACACAGAAAACATCTTTATTTTCAATATTGTTATATACAAACATAGTTGCACAGGTATATTCCCGGTGTTGGTAATGAAGGGCGTATAATAACTGTGGTTATCATCTCGACTAAAATGGAGTAACCCTAACAGACGATAAACATAGTAATTGTGAGTGATTTAAGAGTAACCATATTATATGGTTTCTTAGAAATGTGTGTCTGATGTTTGAACATCAACACACACAAATGTTCAAAAGTTGGTCAATGAGGGCATCTTTGTGGTGGGGTTGTCCTCATGGCTGGATCAGCTCTGATGTCCTAAAAAGACAGAAACAAAAGGTCACAACTTGTGTTTTCACTCTGCTTTTATGAAACTCTGGTTCTGGGATAAAATTCTAGACTTTTCCAAATGGTTTGGTGTTTCGGTTATTGATCGTAGTCTCATAAAAAAGGATGTAGACAACATTTTTAGACAGAGTTTCCCCTAAAAAGTCAAGATTCTAATCAGTATCTGAGAGCTAAGGAATAATGAATGACTGTTCAGATATGTCAATACCATATTGATCATAAACTGTCGATAACACAGCTGCAAACACGCATCTGATGTTACTTACATTTTAGGTAGTCCAGGTTTCACAGGGATGGGGAGGCTCTAATAAGGTGATGGGGTTGAAACCTTTGGTGACTATTGGAAAGAGGAAAAAAATAAGTCAAGTAGAAGCTATTTATGGATTAAGTGCTCCGTCAGCAGTTATGTCAGCTGTTGGTAGCGATGTGCATCATCAAGGTAACACACAGGCCTAAGACTGAATGCACAAACATACTAAACTAAGTCTGCTAGGTAAGATCAAACAGCCTCCAAGTATTGACGCTAGCCAGCACTGGATTTACAGTACATTGACAAACACATTACATATATGTTTAGACAACAACAGCTTGCACCAAGTCTCCGACTATCAGCTTACAACGTCGGCTTGGGATTGCTACCCGTGACCAGTGTGACAAGTGTGTTTAACTACAAATTAGCCATAGCTCAAACTCTGCACATCCTAAGACATTGAGTTATTAATTGTATCAGCTGATAGCATGAAGAAGCCTACATCAAAAAGTGTGCACGCACCAGCCGTGCATACAGCCTGTTAAAGATGCTCTTGTTCACTTAATATATTTCACCGCAGGGATAATAAAGTATTCTGATTCTGATCTGTTGTAATAGAAAAGCGGCTTTAGCAAGTAAATACAAGCTAACCGTGGTCTTAGGCACCCACCTGTCTGACAGAAAGCAGGCCAACTCCGAATCGCTCTTCATCCCAAGCCGCTTCTTGCCTGAAAGCGAAGGAAGACCAACCCAAGGTTCACCCTCGCTTTGGAATAAAAATGTATCGGCTTGGCGTTTCAGCTCATTTTGACAGTTTTTTCTTTCCTTTCCTTTACTGTCGTGTCCGATATTGTCAACATCTGAACGGGGTCCACTCACATTTGTAAACTCCCAAAGTCACTTGCCCACTGCGTCCCCAGTCACCACCCAGAAAAGTCCAGAGTCATCCAAAACATTAAAATACAGGTTGAGGAGATGGTTTCTAAGCACAGAGTCACCACCATTCATCTATGGAGGGGCATCAGCTTTGAATAACTCTGTACTTTATTTTAGGGGAAAATCCTGCAGACTCTACCTTTAAAGTTTTGAGCTAAGAAGATTTAAACATTGACACCCTGTTGCTCTACATTTTGAAGTAAATACAAACACAAATGCAGAAATATAACATCTTTTGGATTCTTGTTTGTTAGTAGTCGATGTGTGCACACATATATATCGCCACCCCTGTAAATGTCATTGCAGAGTCAGGCCCTGGACCTGAATAAGTGGTGATAAAGTTTTGTTTCAACACGTGATATGGTCAACAATATCAACCTCCACTGAAGGAATATATCTGGATGTGTAATTGTTGTGATTTCATGATGGTGTCATGCAGACAACATGGTAAAAAGTCAAACATCTGTGAGTGTGTGTTTGTGTTTTCACCTCGGCCATGTTGGAACTGCATCTTCTCTTCGTCAGGGTCCTGCTTGGCTTTGATGTAGCCACAGTGCCTGGGTGAGGGAAAAAAAACTGGATTATGATCCTGCACACACAACTGTATGTTTTCCACTGCACAGATATCAATATAATTTTATAGCACATCTGAGCTAGATCACATATCCTACATTTCTCAAGTGTATGTGAAATTGCACTCAGGTGTTTTTGTGTTATATTAAATCTCAGTATTTCCTGAACATACTGTGCTACTGTGTGCACAGTGTGTGTACGAACAACCAGATATTCTTTTGTCTCCACGCACGTGCTCTGTATCAGACAAGCCTGGAGGAGAGAAGATTATTCTACTCCCCTTTTTCTGTGATTCTACCTGCCATTTCGCTGTATGTTGTTACGCCTCAGGTTAAGTGTGTGAATGAGTGTGTGTTTGTGTCACAGATGTTCTTACATCATTAGATTGAAGCATAAAACATCCTCTCGTTACATATGTATGACCCCTCAGGCTGTTCGCCTCTACTTTTAGTATCATCACCAAACACATGCATCTGTACCCTTTTCACGACCCCTACACACACATACACACAGTCCAACAATCAAGACACAATATTGACATATTGATCGATTCCATCCTGCTGTCCAGCTGTGAGGAAGTGTTGACTTATTTTGGCCCAAAGATATCATGGGGGGTTTGCTGCAGATGTGTCTGCATGTTTGTTTGTTGTTGGGGGATGTTTCCTTTAACTATGCCAAGCTGAAGACAACATACAGTATGTAACATACAGTTTAATGGCCTTAGACGACCATAACACTGTCTCTGAAATTTACTGCACCCTTATTTTAGGCCGAAAACATGAAATATAGAAGCTGTTGTGTCTAACAAGGCACTGAATATGAAATAAATACTTATCTGGTCCCAGTCAAGCATAATACAGATAAACTGCAACCTGTCAGTTTATCCATCCATCATAAGGATACACTGATTTGGGCTGAGAGCCAAAACTAGCAGGGAATCAGCAGCACAGGCTGATTAAAGAAGAGTGACGGGGATAGAAAGCAGACATATAATTACGCAATAAATGTGTACATAAATAAAGCCCAATATTTCAACTAAAATGGTCTAATGACACACTAGATTCAGAGCAGGCCTGAGCCATAACTTAAGCAGTATTATTTACAAAGACTCAACATTAATCCACCAATGAGCATGCACTTGGCAACAGTGGGGAAAAAAATGTCGATTTAGCAGGCAGATACTTCAAGCGTACCCAGACACACTGGTGGACAACTATCTACCACAACCTTACAAGCAATGAACAACTGTATTCTTTGGTGTGTTATCAAATAGACCACCACCAGAGGAAAGCACCTGGCAACAGTAGCAACAAAAATTCCTCTTTAAGGCAGAAACCTTGAGAAAAACCAGACTTATAGTGGACAGCCATTTGCTGGAACCAACTAAGAGAGTGGGGTGACCTCAATAGAATTAGATACAGATAACAAAAAAGACTTGATCTGGCAGAGCAATGTCAATGTTGATAAAAATATGGCTCTGAAGAGCAGACATGGGAGAGGTTATAAAGATGAAGCAGGCCAATAAAATAGAGGAATACAGAGTGAAAAGGAAACTCGGTAAATCCTTCTTGGTGTGAATAGGTTGGGTCTCGGTGGGCTCAGTAAATCTAAGTCATTTGGTGTTTAATCCTTGTGTTGATTTTACACAGCTGAATGCATGGCAAAACCCAGACATCAATAGGCTGTCTTGGGAATACACATACACACACACACACACACACACTTCAGGGGTAGAGACTGGTTGCTGGTATTTGGGGATAAAGAGGAGGGGGCTTAATATTCCTATGAAGGAGGGGGTTAGGCCCACCTGGTTATCAGCTGGGCTCAAGCCATCCTAACACCAAGGGACTATCATTACCCCCTTGACACACACTCACACACACACATTACCGCTCGGGGGCATGTGTTTAGAGCATATGGGGAATGGGGACATGGGTCACACCTCTGCTCCAACTGTGAAATCCCATGAGAACACACCCACCCAAACACACACACACACACACACACACACATGCATGTTCTGCACAACACCAAAACCCTCATTTGAATCACTTCGCCATCGATGCTGGTTGTGTATACCCGTTAGTGTGTGTGTGTGTGTGTGTGTGTTGGGGGGGAGTGTGTGTCTCCACGGGTGTATGGCTGCATATGCAAGTGTGTGTCTGATGGGAAATGAACACATTTCCATAGTAATTACAGAGCGACTCATTTCTCCTCTCCAGTTAGAAGTGTCATGAATCATTAGCGCTGCAGTCTTAAACATGGCCCAAAATCTGACATGGTTGTGGCTTTTGTTTCCACTCGACAGCTGTGTCTGCGTCGGTGTCTGTATGACAGAAATTTTATTTGACAACCATAAAAAAACTGAAACTGACCAGCGACTCTGAAGACTCTAAAACTGAACTTAACACGCCAGAGTGGAAGACATCTATTGAAATTGTAGTTTTTTTGTTTGAATAATTAATAGAGCACATTTGAAAGTGGTAACAAGTAGCACTTGAGCGAAACAACAGATCTCGATAAATAGTCATGGGGCTATCCTGCATTTACATGTGTTATCCCAATTTGCAAGTACTTCATGTTTAACAACTAGGCTGCTGTTTTCCAGAAACAACACATGTTAAGAATCAGCATTGTTTTCTAAAATATGTTAATTAAAAACTAATATGCATTGGAAAAAGCTTCTTTTTTTTAATCTCAGGAAGAATGTCTCCCAGTTTGTGTGTATCTGCAAAATGCTGTCTGGTCTTTCAGCGGCTACCGTCATCTGCTGTATTTTAAAGAGGCAAATCCATGATATTTGCTCCAAAATGTATTTGGAAAAGAAAAAGTACACATTTCCCAGTCCGTCCAAGTCAGCAAATTTGTGCAAATTCATCCAGTCCCTGCACCATTTTGTGACCGTGCACTTGAAGCTGATCTCTGCAGCTTTTCTTGCCGTGTACATCAAAATTTAATTCTCTGATGTTCCATATATTTTTACCCCCTCAGCTCTGAGATGCTGTAAAAGCATCAAGGGATGTGGCGAACAGTGTCTTTAATATCTTTATAACACTGTACACGAGAGAAGTGAGGGAGAAATTTAGGAGTTCTAATGAGGCTCTGGTGTCATAATCGGACTTTCAGGAGCTTTCTAAACCGGCCTATGAAAAAGCTTAACCAGTAAATCCACCATAAATCTACTGCTGGATGTTCTGGTGGTAATTTCTCTATGCTGAACTATTAACCCTCCAGTCAGTCACATTCTCATGCGATGAGTTGAGTCTGCCGACCAATCATAGACTGTGTCTTCAACCAGATGTGAACATTTCAACTAAGGATGGGCGATTAATAAATATTATATCCACAATAAATATTTGCCATCTCATGATAAACGCGATAAATGCACGTTGATGAAGTAAGCACGAGCATCGGACTTGCAGCCATAGCCCACACAGAGCAGAAGAACAAAGAAACATGGCTGAAGGTGGTGAATAAGACGTCTCTGAGCAGCTTGTTGCTAAACAAGGCTTCGCATGAAGGATTTCCCTCAAGATTGGGGTTTAGAAGAGTGCAATCAGGTAGGCCTGACATCAGACAGAGGATCTGTTCACTCTGTGCAATAAGAGTTTTCAATAAATGTTGAAAGAGTTTTCACATTTCACTAGTCTTCTCCGTAACCTACCACTTAAACTTGTGGTTAAGTATCTTAAGTATCTTATTTGACTATGCCAACTGGTAAGTGCCATCAAAGAACAATGATTGCGAGGTTCTCAAGACAGAGTGAGTCAAAAACATAGAAAGGAATTTTTATATTTTATCGGGACTTTTATCGTTATCGCCAGAATGGCAAAACTTACCATAATAAATTTTTTAGCCCTTATCGCCCATCCCTAATTTCAACTTGTGTTGCATCTTTAAAAGCTGCCTTAAAATCAGGGATTTCAGACACCCGCAAATAACCTGATGTGGTTGTTTGGGTACTTTCCATTTTACTTTCATCTGTGTTTCAATATTTACCCAAATTTTACTCCAGTCTTGTGCAACTAGTGGCTCTGCAGTATTGAGTTGCTATTTTTCAGTAATTGATTTGGCTTCCACCTGAGCATTCACAGCCTCCTGAGCTGGATCAGACTCTATAGTGAGACATAGTCATCCTCCTGCATTGCCACTGGCTGCTGCTGTACTGCAGTGTGAAGTTAGCACTCTCTGTCACTAAGGGAGGAATCATTGTTCCATTTAGCTGCCACCATATCGCACTATACTCTGCAGTTCCATCCCACACAGACACACTCTCACACACAGCTGTACAGTCATGCAGATTTAAAGCACACGCACCTGCACTAATCATGCAAAAACACACACTTTAATGGAGTGCGATATCACTATCACACCCGGGCTCTCACCTTTCTCTCTGCCTCTCTCTGTTCCACTTCAGTGAGGACAACAGGCTATCCCTGTCCTCCAAAGCCACACACTCCACATTTGCATATCAATTTACTTTTTAATATAATACTCTGTCACTCGAGACCCATTTTTCATTCTGCTAGTGAGCTTCCACCTTCACAGAACTCCATCCATATATTACCATTGCTATAGCCCCTCCCCCGTTTTCCTCTCTTTTGCTGCCCTTTATCTCTCCAGGGTGTTATATTCTACTTTAATTCTTCCTTTAAGTAAAAACACTCCCCTGTCAAATAACCCATATCCTTTTTTTCTTCTCTGTACCTCATGTTTCCATCCATTTTACCCGTTCCCAGCTGGCCCAAATCCTCTGCTCTCTTAGGCTTTGCTCTGTATTTTGATCGAAAGAGTGGACACCAAGAGGTGGAAAGAAAGAAGAGAGCGAGGTGGAGAGGGAGATGGAAAAAGAGAGTGCTGACAGGCAAGAACACACAATGGGGGTCCTAGCCTGCATACCAACTAACAAGCAATCAGATGGAGGAGGAGGAGAGAGCGGGGGAGAAGAGGGGCAACTATAGGGAGAGAAACTCGAAGGTTAACGTAAAGAAAAGAGGAAGAAAAAAAGAGACATGTACTGAGGGAAAGAAAAGACAGGGAAGGAGGCATAAAAGAGATATCAGTTCTGTACAACTGGGGTGCTTAGCTGGCTACATGTGCGGGTGAGAAACAAAGAGGGAGGAGATGTTGAATAACGGCTGCACAGATCGAGGATTAAATATGATCATGAATGAGGGGCATCCGCCTCTTCACACGCCTCATATGTAGAGGACAATAGTCTAAGGTGACCAGATTCCTTTAATGAAATCCGAGGACATCCAGGGGGAAGCAAAATGTGATTTCAGGCCCTCTATTTCTGGAGGGCTGCGTGATCACAGACAACAACTCGGTCCTACTTTGTAGCAGCGCACATCCCCCATAATAACCCCCCTGTAAAAACTGTTGTTCAAGACTGCGCGTAACAAGCTTACTCGTGCTTACTACCTACTCGGCTACTGTAATAACTGTTGTTCAAGTCTACATGCAACATTTTTTCTCATTGATAAAACACTTAAATCAGAGACATTGCTGGGGACAGCTTTAGCCAGGAACCAATCATCCAAAATGGGGACTTTCTCCGGAAATCAGGGACGTCTGGTCACCTTACAATAGTCCTCAAGTGGACAAACAGGGTTTGATTTCTGCAAGTGGCCCCTTTCCCATTTCACTCCTCACTTTCTCTCCATTGTCATATCCTCGCCAACTCAAAAGCCTTAAAAATACAACCTAAAAAAAAACATGTAAATATGGAAGATGACATAGAATGGAGCATAGTGTGCACCATACTTCCTATTGAAGGAGAGTGAGAGAGACGATGTGAGAGTTGATGGACAGATTAAGAGCAGATGACAAAGAGGAGAGTGTCAGTCATCAGTACAGCTGCAGGACTTGAGTGAGTAAAGAAACAGAAGAACAAAAAGTAAGAGTACAAGAAGTAGAACAGTAAACATAATCTGAGTAGAAGCAAGTGCCTGAAAGAAAACCTTTCATAAACTCCAGGTCCTCATACAGGATTTTTCATTGTTAGCTAGACTGAATCGAAGAAGCTCGATTCTCTCACGGAGAGCAGAGAAAGAAAACAACTCAGGCAGCTTGCCAGTCCATCACAAGGTCAACACAAGATAAGTAAAGACATTCAGATTCAGACAGCTTGGAGTTTTTCGGTCCACATGATGCTGACAGAGAACAAGGAAGTAGAAAGCTGAACTTTAAGCTGCATTCCTGACAGGTGACTGCTTCGACTAGAAATGTGGTGCTCACAGAGTTTGGCCTCATGAACCAGGAAATTATCCACTGATATACCCCTGTTGTTGCTCAGTATGCTGAATCATGATAAAAGCTGTTATACGGGACATACTTTTATTTTCCCTTTAGGTCAGCAGAATGATTCACTCTCTCCTGTTTTTCCACAGCCTTGTCTTCCACATAGTGCGTCTTTTGCACCTCCCTTCACATGTCACATCACAACCTTCACATCATATCTACACCTCACTGCATGCGTGTAGATACAATGCTGTTGTGTTACAGTGTTTTATGTGCTATGGGTTTGATGGGAGAAAGAAAAAGCATGGAGAACAGGCAGTGACAGAAAAGCGGAGGCAAGTTCGGAGAGGATCAAATGAGAGAAAACTTCGGTAACACAGGTTGAGAATGATGATGCTCTACAGGGAAAAGAAGAGAGCAGAGTAAGTATTGCTTGTCGAATAACCTTGAAACAGGGAAAGAGTAAGAAAGTGACCAAACAAAGCTGTTTGTGGAGCATGGTGTGCAAGTGATGAGAGGCGAGTGATGGAAAGAATAACCTTGGATTAATGTTTACCTGGAACGTGAAGAGAGCCAATAAAGTGTGTGTGGCTTTTTGAGCAGCACGGTTTGTTTTATATGAGCAGCCACTTTTTTATTGGATTAGAGGGTTGCTGCTGGCTGAGAGCAGAAATTGATACACTTAGAGACAAGGAAAAGTCAAAGGGGATCCTTCATACATAAACATACTATGTTTCCTCTCCTTTTCTTCTGTTTTATTTCTTTCCTTGTTTCTCCTTGAGGCTAGGGCAGGGCGATAAACGACAATAACCGACATCATTAAATAAAAGTTGGGGTAACACTTTACAATAACCATAATTTATAAG